TCTGAACTGTGCGTGCGGTCACCTGCTGGCTCGATGTTGATACTCATCAGCACACTTCTAACATTTTTACTGACCTCATAATCAACATTACAGATTTGAACATCAAAAGTATACACTACTTAAATATCACCCTGTTATCTGTTTGTTGGTTTTCTGATTTGGAGGTTCCACCCAGATTTCATTTGGGAGCAAATGCTCTCAGGCCACACACATGCTTGAAACCCTGGGCGGGGACCTGCCAGGGTGCCCAGGCTCCCTCGACCTCGAGTGGCACTCCCTGAGCAGCAGGGCTGCAGGGCGGGCTGGGGGTGGGGTGATGGACCAGAACCAGGAAAGGAGGGCGCGTATCTTATAGTCCTCTGTGCTTTGGGGGTACAGAGGGAAGGTCTGGGAGGACCCGCCACGCCCCCTGGGGCTGGGGAGGAGGGTGGGACCCCAGCTGCCATTCGGGCAGGAGGGGGACTGTCCACAGGAGGCCGCCTGGGACTTCCGGAGCCTGAACAGACCTGCAGCGTGAACACAGCCCGGAGCGGGCAGCCTGCTCTCACCACCGCCCCTCTCGGAAGGCAAATGGCAGCACGACAGAGGGAACAGGACATTCTCAACAAACAGCCCTTGTCCAAGGTCCAGGCTGAGTCAGGAAGGTTCTTGTTGGCCCAAACAAACTCAAACAAGCGCCCAAGCCCGCCCCCTCCATGTCCTGAAAGGCCCCTCTGGCAGGCGCTGGGCCACCTGCGGGGATGAACCAAGCGCACGTGAGGCTCCTGGCTGCCGCGGTCCCTGCTGGCACTGCCACCCCGGACCTGTGTCCCCAGTGCTGGGTGGTACCAGTGTGGCCCAGCATCGGGAGGTTGGTCCCGGAGCCTGCCAGCCGGCCAGACTTCAGACAAGGTCTGCCTGGCCCTGCCCCTCTCTGCTCCAGACCTGCTGGGAGGGGCCTGAGTTTCAGTAGGGCCCCGGGCTTCCGGTGCACCGTGGGCTTTGAGAGGCCCCACTTGGAAGGCTGGATGCAGCTGGGTGGTGCCAGGTGGGAATTGCTTTATGGGGCTGCCCTGGGCTGAGGCAGAACCTGCTTCCTTCCGGCCCCAAAGGCTGAGGCGCTTTAGTGACCAGGACAGGACGCAGTAAATGCCCACCGCCTTTCACATGCAGATGCCTCGGGCCATCCTTTGTCCCGGTGCCCCTGCTGGGCCCTGTTCTGCCTCCCAATGGCTCTCCAATAAAGGGCCACTTACAGATGTCCATGACCACGCCCCCACTAGTCCCAGGGCCCTGAAAGGGGCCCCACGCGGCCAGCACCATCCCCAGTAGCTCCAAGAAGGGACCACACTGCTGGGAATGACAAGGGGGCAGTCACCGTGGCCTGGGCCTCCTGTTCTCCCATCTGGAACACTGCTGGCCCAGATGACATCTTCAGACCCCAGCCCTTACATCACTGATCTGTGAGGCCACACCCCCTGGCTCCCCATCCCCTCTCCTGGCCTCTCCATCTGACACCAGCCTTTCTGGGTGCTCTTTACACACTGGGCGGGCAGCTTGGGGAGCAGGGACGTCCACCTGCCCAGCTCACTGCCGGCGCCCACAGCAGCGTGTCAGTATTGCAGAAGCACTCGGTAACACTGCTGGGTGTGTGAGGGCACGGATGAGAGGCAAGGGGTATGGTGGGGAAAGCCAACTGGCTGACCGGCAGATCACAGGGTAAATCCCGGCAGTTCCTGCCTCTCCGGGCCTCAGCCTCACTTGGAAGAGGGGCGGACACTCAACCTCGGGCTGGCTGTGAAGGGCCTGAGGAGTCAAGCAGCTGCCTAGGACACACAGGCCTCCCCCAATCAGCGGCGGTGCTACCACTGTGGTTGACATGGTTTCGAAAAGCAGAGTTTATACTCCCTAGGAGCTCTGTCCCCAAAAAGGGGGGGACCTTTCAGAAAATCTGACACCTGTCACCACAGAAACTGTAGGAAAAAGAATGGAAAACTGGCCCCTTCCCGCTGGGGGATCCCGAACAGAAGGTGCTATTTGGGCCCCCCCACCCCCGCCCCGTGCTGGTGAGCTGCCATGGAGGGAACTCTCCCCAGGACCCAGGGTCCTCACCCCCATCACACTTGTCCTCTGCAGCACAGTTCTCACCCCGGGGACTTCCTCTGAGCTCCTGTGACTTCAAAGGGAGCCGTGCACATCAAGGAGGCCACAGAGTGTAAGGTGCAAGGAAACCTCACTCGCGGGGCTGCAGAAACTTACAAAAGCAGACGAATACCACGCGCTCTTCACCTGGGCAAACAGGGCCGTGCCTGAGATCGCTGGCAGAGTCTTCTCCTGGCTCAGCTGCCAGGAGAGGGAGACAGCGTCCCCCGTGTATCTGAATACCCCATGGGAAACCCCCAAAACAGGCATATTTTACTGGGGGGGGGAAGTTTCCCAAACTCCACTCACTGCTTCACCCAGGCCAGGGAGACCCACCAGGAGGCCTGGGGCTTCCTGGAGCCTGAGCATGATCCGTGGGGCTGGGCCTGCGTGGAAGGGCTCGTCGCTCAGGGAGAAAAGGAATGCTAGGGGACCTAGGGGCACCACAGTGCAGAGCGGCCCAGACTGCGTGGGTTCTGTGGGACCCAGGGGCTCTGTAAGTGAACCATCCACACCCCACCCCCAAAGTCTGGAAGCAAGTGGGTGAGGTGAGCGGAGAGGGGGGAAAGGAATCACAAAGGTCGCTCTCAAGGCCCTGGTGGATGGGACAGGCGTGGGGACCTCGTCCCGTGTCATGGGAGCCCAGGCGGTTTCAGAGGGACCAAGCCATTGGTTCTCCCAGCCCCTGCACTGCACAGTGATTAAGTCCCCCGGGCCCTCGATGGCTAGTTAACTCAGTTGGTTAGAGCATCATCCCAATACACCAAGGGTGAGGGTTTGATATCTGGTCAGGGCACATGAAAGAATCAATCAATGAATGCGTAAATAAGTGGAGCAACAAATCAATGTTTCTCTCTCTCTCAAAATCAATTAAAGAAAAATTTTAAGTCCCCCCAAGATAACAAGTACTATGTCCTCTCACCAAGAAGAAGCCACAGGCTCTGGGGAAGGAGCCTCCCCTCTCAGCTCTGTGACTGGCTGTAACGTATTTTAGGACTGTTATCTCACTGTTAGGGTTATACATTGTAGGCGCTACTGGAGACACCCAGCTGGATAAATCTGCCCAGGACAAAACAAATCACCCCCCCCCCCCCACCCAGGGATCAGTCAGAAGAGGCCAAAGGAGAATCGACAGAGGTCAATGGACTGGAACGCCCTCCCCAACGCCCAAGCCTGCAATCTGTGCCTCACCAGGGCAGGGCAGGCTGCCAGAGAAGCCCCACCTTTCCTCAGTGCCCCCCCCCAAGGAGTCAAACCCAGGTCGGGCAATGCTTAGGAGTCAGGCAGACCTGGGCTGCCATGGTCCCCGGGCCGTGCCAACTGAGACCCTGGCAGGCTCGGAGCCATGGATGCTTTAGCTGATAAAGGGAGATAACAGCACCCCCTCCCAAACCCCAGACTGTCGGGGGACTGAACGAGATGGCAAAAGGGAAGCAGCCATCTTTGCTGCTGCTGGTGGACACCTGAAGCCTCACCTGCCTGACCCTCACTACTGACCGGAAAACGAAGGCTCAGCAGGCAGCCCTGCCTTTCCCAAGTCCACTGCGGAACCCGTTCTGTGCTTGCTACTCAGACGTGGACAGACGGACGGAGGCTCTGTCCACATGCTTGACCTACTTTACTTTTCAGGTGTTTCAGAGGCGAAAGTGACCCTGCTACTAGGCCCAGGCACCCCAAAACACAGCCGAGTGCCCTGTGCTCCATTCCCACAGGCACCACCACCCCATGCTCTTGTCAGTGACAGAGCTAGTCTGAAGCCGGGGGGAAACGGAGACCAAGGCAGAGGTTAACCCTGGACGGGAGGACCTGTGCCCACAGGCCACAGGGAGGCTCCCGGGTCTGCTGTGCTCTCCTGGAACCCACGGCTCCCTTTCTCGAGCCCCTGGCCTGGAAAACACCTGCTTTGCTCTGCGGGACAGTTTGGGCTCCCTGGACAGTGAGGTGGGCTCCCTGAGGACCAAGAGACTAACTTAACTGCCATCTACAGGTAGGTAGACTACGTCCCAACGAGGTCAGACTACCAAGCAAAGGTCCCCCAGCTGGTAACTATGGGAGACCAAGTCCTGTGCAATTAGCCCTTCCTGGCTGCCCATCAACATCATGGCAGCGCGGGCCTGCGAGGCCACTGGCGATCACAAAGCCCAGGTCCAGGTGCCAACCGTGGTCCCGGCATGTCCTCCATGCGCAAGACCAGGTGGGCAAGACGGCTGTCCTCAACCGTCTAGATGATCAAATACGGTCCAACTGAATTATAATGCCAATCCCAAGCGACTTAAAGTTTCCTGGTAACCACATTAACAAAAGTCAAAAGAGCCCTGGCCGGTTTGGCTCAGCGGTTAGAGCATCTACCTGCGGTCCGGAGAGACCCGGGTTCGGTTCCTGCTAAGGGCATGTACCTCGGTTGCAGTTTGTCCCCGGCCCTGGTTGGTCGTGCGGGTGGCAGCCACTCGATGTTTCCCTCTCTCTCTCTTCCTCTCTCTCCTTCCCACTCTATCTGTACAAAAAATGGAAAAATGTCCTCAGGCGAGGATTAAAAAAAAAAAAATCAAAAGAAACAGATGGAATTAATACGATACATTTTATTTTATTTAACCTAAGATAGTCCACGTACGACCACGCCGACACATTGTAATCAGTGTGAAGTACAAGCCCAGCACGCGTTCACCCTGCAAGCGCATCGCAAGTCAGACGGGCCGCCTCCCCGGCGCTGGCTCCCCGGCTGGGCCGCGCAGCTCGGAGCGCGGAGGCCCCGGGACCGCCTGCGGGCGGGGTCTCAGGTCGCCGGGGGCGGGGCCGACGCCGAGGCCCCGCCCCGGCCCCGCCCCCAGCAGCGATCAGAAGCGGCCGGAGGGACCCGGCTGAGCGTGCGGCCCACTCACCTCGCCACCGCGTCCACGGAGCCGGCGATCGGCTTGCCGCCGCCCTCGCCGCTGTCGTACAGAACGCCCGAGATGTCGAGCAGCACCCCGCGCACGCCGGCCAGCCGCGCGCCCCACGCGGCCATCGCGCCCCCGCGCGCCTCCGACGAGGCGGCCCGAGCCCAGGCCGGCAACTGCGGCTGCGCTGGCCGCCGCGCAGGGGCGCCCGGGAAGGGTAGTGAGGCGGGGCGGGGCCGACGGGGGAGGGCGGCGCTGCCGGGCCTTCGGGGTCACGTGCTCCCGGAGGGCGCCGTCTCCGCAAAGCAGGGGATGCAAGTCCGCCTGGCGCCGGGAAGCAAGGAGACGCCTGTAAAGAAGCAGCAAAACCGGAGGGAACAGGCGGTACAGTGCTTCTCCGGTGGTCTCAGCCTGCGCGGGAGAGTGTGGCCCCCCAGCAGCTGGGGGAAGACCCCACGCTGGCCAGCGAGGCCAAGGACCTGGCCACGGCTGCGGTGTGAGCTACAATGCCAAAGCAAGCCGGAAGGAAAGTAAATGTTCAAGAAGCGATGTCAGGGCTGCTACAAGAAATATTAGGCCATCAGACCATGAAAACTAGGCCACAGCATAGGAAATGCTCAAGTTACAACATTATATGAAAAAGCAGAATGCAAAACCGTATGCAGACAGCCCTGCAAAAAGGAGGATGCATAAGAATAGGGCTGGAAAGGAAATGGAAATGTTGCAGTGTGTTAAGCCAGTGAGATTTGGGGATGAATTTTTTTTTTTTTTAATCCTCACCCGAGGATATTTTCCCATTTATCATCAGATAGCGTGGGAGAGGGAGAGACAGAAACATCCACGTGAGAGAAACACATAGACTGGTTGCCTCCCCCATGACCTGGACCAGGACCCTTGAGCAGAATCGAACCTGCTACTCGTCCATGGGCTGACGCTCTAAATGCTTAGCTAAACCGGCCAGGGCTGGGATGAATTTTTACATTCCATTTAATGTTACATCATTTCCCACAGAGCTCAAGTATCCACCAGTAGCAGGAAACATGCCCCTGGGTCTTAATCCAGATTCCTGGGATGGATGTAACCGATCCAACTCACCTGGTTGAACTGACAGCATTAGGCAGCCCAGGAGTAGGCCAGCCCATGGATCAGGTGTCCCTCCACCTGGACCACAGCCCAGTCACCAGGATCTGGGAGCTGGACAGAGGCTCCGAGAAGGCAAGGTGCATGAGTAAAACCCATACACATCTCACAGGGAACATAGGTTGTCCAGGAGACAGGGCTGCACACGCAGTCGGGTTAGAGCATGAAGAACCTTGTGTTCAATGCTAAAGCATTTAGTCTTCACCCCATGGACTACAGTAGCCATGGAAACGCCGGGAACCATGCTTCAGGTAAGGTCACTTGGCATGTGCACTGCTGAGGTGGCCAAGTCGTAACCGGCAGACGTGTTTCCGATGGCCTGTTTTCAATTTCTGAGTTGGTTGCCAGCATTTAAAACTTTGGGGATGTCACATCGTTGTCTCTTTGGGTCCATGCGGAGATCTGGCAGCGTTGACCAGCATTCCTAAAAGGCCACCGCCCACCATGGAGTAGCAGCATCCCCTTGACAGGGAATGCCCACCCTCCAGCCTGCCAGGCTCAGCTGGCTTTGCTCATTTAGGCCAGGGCCTGGTCCTCAGGGCCAGAGTTTGCACATCTTGGGAGGTGAAAATCCTACAGGGGTGGCAGGGCTGGAGACTGGGAGACAAGGGAAAGAGGATGAACATAAGAAATTTGGGCACAGCCCTGGCTGGTTTTGCTCAGTGGTTGGAGCGTCGGCTTGCAGTCCAGAGAGACCCGGGTTCGGTTCCCTGCTAAGGGCACGTACCCCGGTTGCAGTTTGTCCCCGGCCCTGGTTGGTCGTGCGGGTGGAAGCCACTCGATGTGTCCCTTTCAGATTGATGTTTCTCTCTCTCTCTCCCTCCCACTCTATCTGAACAAAAAATGGGAAAATGTCCTCGGGTGAGGATAATTTAAAAAAAAAGAAATTTGGGAACAGAGGGCTTTGACATCTTCCTTGCAGTAGACCACCCAAGAGACAGATCATTATGGTCTCCACTCAGCTGGGAAGCAGGTGCTTCGTACAGTCGCAAAGTCCTCCCTGGCCGCCTCCTCTTTGTCCTGCACATGCCTCTGCGGTATGGTGTTAACATGACACACATTGCGAGCCCAGGCTGCATTTGTGTCCCTGATTCTTCTGGCCCTGTCCTTCATCAGTCCTCTCATATGTCCTTAGCTTGTCACTTGGCATTCCCCCCCATCCCCTTCTCTCTCTTCCATGACATCACACTACTTTTCCAGATGCCCAGAGCAATCTGGCTGGTCTGACAAGTCTCTCCTCTTGGGCTCCTCCTGGGAATATCGTGTTAGAAAACACAATGATCCTGGCTGGTGTGGCTCAGTGCTTGAGCGCAGATCCATGCACCAAGAGGTCGCTGGTTCGATTCCCGGTCAGGGCACATGCCCAGGTTGTGGGCCCAATCCCCAGTGGGGGGCAGGCAGGAGGCAGCCAGTTGGTGTTCTCTCTCATCGATGTTTCTATCTCTCTCTCCCCCCTCTTCAAAATCAATAAAGAAAAAGAACTTAAGCCCTGGCTGGTTTGGCTCAGCGGTTGGAGCGTTGGCCTGCGGACCAGAGAGTCCCGGGTTTGGTTCCCGCTAGGGGCATGTACAAAAAAGAAAAAGGCCTTAAAAACACAACGAGGGGGCTTCCAAACTGGACCTGGAGCCTGTGCCACAGCCCCTCCCAGGCAAGCCTGGGCTCAGCATTTTCTCTGAGGTCCTCTTCCAAACCCCAGCTGGGTGTGCGACTTTGAAGGAAAGTCTTTGGTATGTACGTGGCTGCAACTGGATTTCACCCTGGGGCAGGAATGTGATTTCCTGGATAAGAACCGGGCTGCAGGGGACTCTGGGACCTCACTGCCCTGCTTCACCACTTCCTGGCTGTAAGGTCGTGGCCAGCCCCTAAGCTCCATTTTCTCCACCACAAATTGGGGATAATAATAGTGCCTGCTTGTGGGTGCCATGGGGAGGGTTAAAATAAATAACATGAAATAAGCAAAAAGCTTGGCCAAGTGGTTTAGAGCGAGTGCCCAAGACAGAACAGTGATTATGGTTAATAATGTCATTATCGGGAGCACGGACCATGTATTCTACTTATTAGCATAACCCCTCATCGCTTTATCGCCTTTGATGCTTCCTGGATATTCCTAAGACAAAGAAGTTTGTTTTTGTTTGTTTTTAATAAAGCTGTTGCTTTCCAAGAAGAAATACTAATTTTTAAAGCAAAATATGTTGGCTAAACATTTGTGTTTTGGTCGAAGTCTGGGAGGGGTGGGAAGGCTGCATTTTGAGCTTTCGCCAGTCAAAGGCTCCAGGTGGGTTTTGAAAGGAACACTTGCTCTGCTCCGCAGCCAGAGGTCAAAGCCCTGGTGGGAAATGGAAAACACTGGCCTTTCATTGTGAATGAACAGAAAGGGGGCTACAGTAGGCGAACATCAACCAACAGGGTCTGCTGCTACCAGTAGTTTTATTTTATTACTATTATTATTTTATATATTTTTCCTTTATTTTATTAAAATTTGTTTTTCTTTATTGATTTTAAAGAGAGAGGAAGGGGGAGAGAGAGAAACATTGATGAGAGAGAACATCAATTGGCCATCTCCCACATGCCCCCCACTGGGATCAGGCCCACAACCTGGGCATGTGCCCTGACCGGGAATCGAACCGGCAACCTCTTGGTGCAGGGTCGACGCTCAACCACTGAGCCACACTGGCTGGGCCAGTAGTTTTATTTTCAAAGCCAACACTTCCCCTCCCATTCTGCAGACCATTTGTGTTGAAGAAGTACTGTTGGCCCGGTCAGTCTGTTCAGTGGCTAGAGCACTAGCCCACAGAGCAAAGAGGCTCAGGTTTGATTCGGGTCAAGGGCAGTACCTCAGTTGTGGTTCAGTGCACAAGGCCCTGGTTGGGGTTTTGCAGGAGGCAACCAATCGAAACACATCAATGTTTCTCTCTCTCTCTCACCCTTTCTCTCTCTCCCTTCCACTCTATCTGAAGATAAATGGAAAAACATCCTCAGGTGAGGATTAAAAAAGAAAAGAAGTACTTGGGGAAGGCTAGCAGAGGTGGTGAATGAAGGAGTTGCCCACATAGCTGTTCCCCAAGTTGACTTCCCCTTTGTCACCCTGCTGTGCCTTATGAAGCTGTCTCTTTGGCATAGACGTCCTACCCGTTGGCCGGCCCAAACCGAGGTTTCACCAGGAGAATCTCAGTTGTATTTTATTGCACAAACATGAGATTTTATCTTAGGTGCTTTAATGGGGCTTATAATGTTGCTCGTCCCCTGCATTAGCAGCAGATTCTTTCCATTGTTAACACCGTTCATGGCCCGGCCGCAGCTCAAGGCCCCGGCGGAATCACAGGCCACTCTGCCTGGGGAATGGCCCAGCGGGCCTGGCTCCAGTGATCTGCATCGCTGCCTCCAGGATAGCCTCTGCCTTCTCCTCCAAGATACTATCTAAACTGTGAAATTCATTAAATAGCCCCAGAAATGGATCAGGTTATTTAACACAACATCCCTAATGGCGCAATATCTCAGCTGTCTGTTCCCATCGTGAACATTGTCTTGGATAGTGTTATCAGCTCAGGACACCCGCTATGAATATTGATCCTGAGCTTGTTACAGCCATCACTCGGCATCAGGACAGGTCAGGGTTGGAACCCTCGTAGCATCAAAGCAATTTAAAGACAGCACTCAGGCAGAATTTTAATGCCCGCGCTGGAAAAAACAAATCGACTCTGCACAGAGGGAAGGCAGCTTGCTGGGTTTGGATATATTTATTATATAAGAATACTTTGGGTATAAACACATGTGTGAGCCCTGGCCGGTTTGGCTCAGCGGTTGGAGTGTGGGCCCAAGGTCCTGAGAGACCCGGGTTCGGTTCCCGCTAAGGGCACGTACCTCGGTTGCAGTTTGTCCCCGGCCCCGGCTGGGGTTGTACGGGAGGCAACCACTCAATGTCTCTTTCACGTTGATGTTTCTCTCTCTCTCTTTCTCTCCCCATTTCTATATGAACAAAAATGGAATAATGTCCTCAAGTGAGGATAAAAAATTAAATAAACACATGTGTGAGACTGTTAGTGAGTCAACACATCACCAAATCATGCCTACAGGAGGTCTCATTACCTTTTGGTCATTTACAAAGCAGGTGGCCAGAAAAACAATTCCCCAAGGGCGTCTCTCCTCTCACCAAATTGGAGAATTCAGCCTGTTCGTTGGGTGAGGGGTTTCTCTAAGTCAGGTGTGTCGGAGGGAGAAGTTTTCTATTCCTTCCAGGTGTATGGGAGACACCTCACTGTTTCTTCTGCGCCATCCATTTCCAGAAGCCAAGTTCCGAGTGTGAGGGTTCACATGACCTCATGCCACACTGAACACGCATATCAGGAACACTAAGGGGCAGAAAAATGTAAAAATAACTAAGAGCAGTTCTTAAAGGTGCACAGACTTAGAGCATGTGGTCTTGACATGTTCTTGACTCTCCAATTTGTTGCTTCTCCCTTTTCAGTTCCTTTTCTATAGTTAACACCTGTGGACCTCCGAGGAAAAATGATTCTTGTCCAAGGAAAGATGATTATCATTTATTGAAACAAAACATTTTTGAGGCAATTTGTAAAGTGAAATGAAAATGGCCCAGGTTGGGGCCTTGACTGTCCGAACCTTTCCTGTCCCTCTGGTTGGGGACATGGGGTGGCCCCTGGAATGCCAGTCACCTTCCCATGAAAATGATCTCAACATCTCTTACAGGTGAGCAGATAAGAAGAGGGGCCATGGAGAGCCACACATGTCCATTTCAGCGCTACCTTAAGGAGATCTCTTTCTAGCCACCCCGAAGAACCTAAATTTGAAAAAATATGAACGGGGATGTTACCCAGTAAAGGGGGCCCGTATGGGAAGGGAGGGAGAAACAAAAGAAAGATTAAAGAAAAAAAAATCAAGTGAGAACTGAATGAGAAAAGTTGTCAAAATATACAACAAAGTGCCCTATCGGTATTCAGGAAGGTTCCGCGATTTGCAGTCCAGGTTCCTGGGTGCCACTGTTTGATTTCAGGGCCGACCTTTCTTGGGATTTCACAGGTGGGCATTCCCTCTGCTGGGAGGCGGTCCAGTGGGCTTGGGCAGGGCACTTCCTTCCCCGACTCTTTTAAAGTACAATCCCTCTTTGCTTTAGGGTGGGGGCTGGCCTGCATCTCGGCAGGGCTTTCAAGTCCCCAGGGAAGACCGGGGGAGGGGCCAGGAGGTTTGAATGAGAAAAGCTACAAGGAGCTGGCCTGTAAGGCTTTCTCTTCAATGACAGATGGGATTAGCAGCCCCCAACACTTTGATGAAGCTTCTCCTCCCCTTCCTACTCCTACCTGCTTGGACAATATTAATTGCGGAGCCATTGTCCGAAAGCCCCATGGGGTGGGGAAGGAAGGGCAGCAGTTCGAGGGGCGCTTCTGGGCAGAGCGGTTAGGGGAAGCCTCGGAGACATGCGACCAATGCTTAGTGCTCACGGGCTGCTCCCCAAGTGACAGAAGGGAAAAGGAATGTTGAGACCAGGGTGGCTGGCAGAAGCTTCCCCCAGGACTGATGCTCACTCTCCCACATTTCAATCCTCTCTGTCCCCTGACCTCAGACTCGAACCAGACAAATATCTTTTAACCTTTTTCTTCTTGGGGTGGGGAGGGGGGGAGGTTAAAGATACCACCTGATTCTTCAAGACCCCGTTTCTTCGCAGATGACCAAGTCTGTGACTGTGGAGAAGGCCTGAAGGACACGCGGGCTGTCCTTGCTGTCTCAGCGAGCAGGGTGGCCAGGGTGGCCACCCTCACCTGCTTCACCTGGCTTAGAGCCGGAGACCCGCCAAAGTCACCAAAGCGGGAGGCCACTGTGGGGGTGGGTGGGTGCGAGGACATCTTTCCAAAACCCCTGCCAGGGGGTGAAGGAGAAAGCCCGGGCACAGGGTGGGGTTGCCTTCCTCCACCTCCCAGACAGCAGGCTGTACTGAAAAGGGTACTGGTGCAGGAGGATACCTGGGTTCGAGTCCAGACTCCGTCACCGTCCAACAGTGATCCCGGGCAACTCACATCTCATCTCTGAACCTCAATCTTCTCATCTTTAAAAGGGGGATAACAGGGCGGCCAGGCCACGTCCACCTCACAGGGATGCTCCGAGAATCCTGAGCATCACTGAGATCGCGCAAGCCCAACAGCTTTGTCAACTCGAGGCCACGAGGACCTACATCCCAGGTCTGAGGCCGTGACCGCGATTCGCTGGCGGGCAGGAGACAGACTGAGCGTTGCCTCGAAGTAATCAGCCCGGGCCTCAACCGCATGCCCAGTGCGAAGGCGGGGGCACTGGGGAAAGGGCGCGAGTGGTCAGTGTCTGCTGGGGGTCCCGGGGGCAAAAGCGTCGGGCCCTCCCGCACTACCTCGTGGACGCCCGCGGTCCCGGAGGCGCGCGGAGCCGGCGGCGCTCTTCCAGCGGGCGCGCGCACCGGGCGCACCGGGGCGCCTCTGGCCGGGGCTGGCGGCCCGGGTGAGCGCCGGGCACTCTCGGGCCGCTGCGAGCGCGCCTCGCACGTGGCGGGGCCCGGGCCTCCCGAGTGCCAATCCGCGCGCAGCCCCCCGCCGCTCTCGCCCCGCCCCGCCTGCCCGCCTCCCCCCAGCTCCTCTAGGCCGCCCTGACCCTCCTGCTGGCTGGAGACCGCGGCCGAGCCACAGACGAAGGCAAGCCCGAGCGCGGCCATCTCGGACCCGCGCCCCCGGCCTCCGGCCCGCGGGCGGCGGGCATGCTGGCATGGCAGGACGGCGGGGCCAAGGCGGCTCCCTCCCATCACAAGATCTCCTTCTCCGTGCTGGACATCCTGGACCCACAGAAATTCACACGCGCCGCGCTCCCGGCCCTGCGCCCCGCTCCCCGGGAAGCCAAGAAAAGTTTGGCAGAGGCCGAAGTGGGGAAGGACGCCAGCTCGGGGGACCAGGCCGGCCTTCGGGAGACCCCTGGTAAGGATGCGAGGAGGCCCCCGGCTCCGGGAAGCCCCAGCTCAGATGAGGCGATGGAGAGGTGTGTGTGCGTGGGGTGGGGAGGGTGGGGGCAGCCAGGGACCCGGGAATAGCCCTTAGCGGGGTCTTCTCCAAAGGGAGAAGGCGCACAGGACGGGGTGTGGCCCCCGAGGCAGAAAGGAGGGCTCCAGAATCCCAGATGAGGGAAAGCCCACCGAAGCCCCATCCCTCCTCACCCGCCAAGCGAGTGAGCATCACAGCTGTGATTTGCTCGAGACGAACACTAGCACCCAGCGCTCACCTTGTCCAGTCTCATTCATTTATCCGGCATTTGCTGCTCCTGCCGTGTGCTAACTGAGCTAGAGACTGGGATAAAAATCAGAAAAACGTCAGAACCCACGAGACAGCGTCATTAACATCGGCCCCGTTTTATGGATGAGAAAGCGGAAGCGTAACTAGGTGTAGAGGTCTTGGTGAGTATGGAGGTCAGGTTCACCCACTTCCAGCCATCCAGATACATGCAGAGGCTCCGCTGCCCCACGCGGAGGGATCATGGGAGGCTTTCGGTTCTTTCCCCTCGAAACCCTGTTTGACTTACTTCTAACTCTGATGGACACCTGATGAGGGGTCCAGGAAAGTTTGTGCCTGGAAGGAAGGACAAAAGACACCAGGACGGTGCTGGGCGGGGTTGGGGGGTGGGGAGTGGGCACGAGGTTCCCTGGAGGGACGCCGAGGGTCAGGGGAGCAGGTTCAGGAGAGGCTGGGTGCCGTGCATCCTCCCGCTTCCCTCCCCAAGTTTGGCGGTGATTGTCTGGGGCTTGGGGCGCCTCTGGCGGCTGCGCTTGGGCCTGGGCGGTCAGCCTGGTAATTGCTAGGATCGCCACTTTGAGGGGCCGCGCTCCCCCCACCCCCACCCCATGATCGATATTCTATTACTGGCTACTGCATATCTCCTGCCTACAGCTTGCAGGTACCAACTTCAAACCCCCTTTCCCTGTCTGATCCTAATATTGTTCGATTAAAACTTACCTTTAATAGATGACATCTATCGATCCAGCCCCGCACAAATCTGAAACTCTATTAACACGGCAGGAGAGAGAAGATGGGAAAGAGGGAATTTCACTTGGGGGGTGGGGGTGCTTAATAACTTCTTTTTTAATTGCTAAGGGTCCCAGACCAAAATAGGCTTCTAGTGACGGGGGAGACACTGCCCTAAATGCACTTGACGTCTCGATGTCTTAATGTTTAATGATCCTCCTCCTCCCACAAGATTGTCCAGTAAGGTCATTATTTTTTCTTAATGTGGGGTGCGATTAATTCAAAATACACTTCGTGGACGCCTACTGGGTGACAGATGAGTAAAAGGCAAGGGGGCACTGCACCCCTAAACTGTGACTCCGAGAAGTGCTTGCTAAGATGAGCTGGGGGCCGGATTGGGGGGAGCTGCGCGCTCTGGGGAGCGCAGAAGGGGGTCTGGGGACCCAGAGCGGCCCGGCGGTTCCAGGCTTCTGATCACCACCCCATTCTCCCCAGACACTGCGGGCCGAGGCGCGGAGGCGGCATCCCCTCTGGAGGGCTCCGAGGCAGAGGCGGCGGCGGCGGAGGAGGAGGAGGACTCCGAGGATGCGGGAAGGCGGCGGGAGCGGGCTGCGAGCTCGCAGGCGGGCCCGCCGCGCTCCCCCGAGGCCCGGACGGCAGGGTCGGCGGCGGGGGAGCGCGGCGCGGGCAGCCTCGAGGGCTCCCCGGGCTCGCCGGACTCCCCGCGGCCCCGGCGCCGACGCCCCGAGCCCAGCGGCGCCAAGCCCAGGCGCGCGCGCACCGCCTTCACCTACGAGCAGCTGGTGGCCTTGGAGAACAAGTTCCGGGCCACGCGCTACTTGTCAGTGTGCGAGCGCCTGAACCTCGCGCTGTCGCTCAGCCTCACTGAGACACAGGTCAAAATTTGGTTCCAGAACCGCAGGACCAAGTGGAAGAAGCAGAACCCCGGCGCCGACGGCGCGGCGCAGGTGGGGGGCGGCGCACCCCAGCCCGGGGCTCCCGGGACTGCGGCGGCAAGCGGCGGCACGGGGGGCAGCCCGGGTCCCCCAGGCCCAGGCGCGCTGCCCTTCCAGACTTTTCCCTCCTACTCAGCGGCCAACGTCCTCTTCCCGGCCGCTGCCTCCTTCCCGCTGACCGCCGTCGCCGCAGCCGGGGGCCCCTTTGCGCCCTTCCTTGGGCCCTCCTACCTGACCCCTTTCTATGCCCCTCATCTATGAGCCCGGAGTTCCTCCGGGCCCCCACTTCACCGGGATTCACGAGTGAGTGGAGTCCTCGTGAGGCTCCCCACTCCACCGAGGGGCGCAGAGGCGCAGGGACCGCCCCCTCCTGGTGCGCGGGTGCCTGCGCGCCCCTTCCCCGCGAGCTGCCTGGAGGCGCCGCCAGAGGGCAGGGAGATGCCACCCGCCCCCTCCCAGCCGCGCCCCTTTCCTCCGCGCCATCCCTCTGAGTTCACGCCGCCCACATCTTTAAAAGTGACCTCAAATCTTCCGGTTTCAGGACCTGGCTCTCACTTGGTCCGGCTTACTTCAGCTCAAGGGCTCCTTGTGAGGGTGTGGGTGCCGGGCGCCGGGGTCCAGGGCTGCGGGATGCGGACGCGTGGGAGCCTAGACCTCCAGCCCACCCGCTGCGCACCCGGAGGACCGGATCATCGGAGATTTCAGTGCACGCGTAGGGTGAGAAGCTTTCCCTTTGCGCAGCTGATTGTTTCCCTTTTCACACTGGACCACTGGCCCACACCCAGCGGTTCCCCCCAAATACTGAACAAAGCCGGGGGAGCTGGGTCCGGGAGCACACACTGCCGCTGTGAAATGGACTTTTTAAATGCATCACACTCGACGTGTTGGGACCTTTCTTTACGATTTAGACGTGAGCACAATTCTCGTTCCAAACAGACTCTCTACAGGCGGTTTCTGTGACAACGGGTGTTTTATGTTTCTGAGAAGACCGGAAGTTTGCGCCAGAAATATCTATCTTTTATAGCCATGCTTACCTAGGACGGTAGACGAGGTTGTGCGGCCCGCAGGGCAGCTTTGACCAAGCACAGTCCAGGTACCAAATGCAGGAAGGTCCAGTGGCGCAGCTGAAATCTTCAGGTCTTGGCAGGAGACGGCCTACTTTCCCGCAGTTTTATGGAGACGTCATTGACAAGACTGCTTATGCGGAGTCCCCGTTTTTGATGTTCTAAAACTTCGGTGCTGGCTACTGCATGTGCGCCAGCGATTCCCAGGCTCCCGTTGGCGAGCAGCGTTGGGGGAGGGTTGGCTCCTTCAGCACGCACACCGATTGGCCTATTCTTTGACGGCACACATTTAACATCGTGAGGGCTTCATCTAAGATTCCGACTTGAAAGCAATTCTTGTTGCAAACAGACTCTCCATGTGGCCTGGTAAACCAGCAGAAGGTTGTAAGGGGCTGAGGGAGAAATACTTCCTGGCTGTCTAGAGCTACTGTGGCACCAAATAGCGTCTTCATAATGGATTCAGCTGCAGGAGCTTAACATAGACACCCGCATTCTAACCACTGCTTTTATCACCCGCCCTAATGCTTTCATTCTTCCATAAAATTCTCTCGCTAGCTTTGCTTGGAATACTTTTAGTTTTCTGTGTCATGTGGTTTGTAGCCAGCCCATATCTCAGAAACCTAGATGTCCCCAACTGGGTCATGTATGTTTCACTGTCACCTTTGTTTGACTGAGGCCTACCGATACCTACATGAATACCATAGTCCTCGCTCTGTCTTGATAGCCTGTGCCACTAATAATTAAATCTAATGAGCAATGACTTCTTATAAAGTAAAAGCACACTGGTATCCTGAACACATGAGCCGATTTCCATCTTAGAATATCCACTTCTGTTATAATCAGGAATGATAGAAAATATCCTCCCTTTCACACTAAGTGAAGACTTCCTCTTTATGCGGCTTACAGATTTGAAAATATCTATTATTTAATTAGGCATTATAGACGACCGAGAGTCTTTCCTTCTATTCTAAAGAAGTGCCCCCAAACAAATGCATTGTACTTTCTAAAAGACGGTTGATGCCTGATGAGATTAAGAATGCAGTTATTGTTGTAGAGAGGCTTATAATTTCACTCATTTTGCATGTGGATAAACACTCCCTCAATAACTATTCGTTGGTTTCTCAAAAGTAACATTCCGTGTGTCAAGAACAGGCAGTTCAAGCGTACAGAGGCGAGATCTGTCACAAAGGAGCCGCATTTCTGTAAGACGCGGGGGCACTTCATTCCTCTCGGGCACCAGAACACAGACCCCGCTGAGACGGGGGCGCGGGAGCCACAGGAGGCCCACCTGCGTGTGGGCGAGCACGGAATGCTGTCATTCCTGACCTTGCCCGTTTCCAAGGGTTCTGAAGAGTGACGCTTGCAGTGTGTGACATTGGACTGCTGCTGTAAAAGGCCCAGTGGCTTTCCAGCCAAATCCCGAGACTCAGTTTATTGATGTGTTTGTCTAATAAATTCCTTTTGTAATGATTTCTCACTCTCCATTAGCAAAGCGTTTACTACTTTGTAATGACCAGTGGTTGTATATCTGTACCCTCTTTCCCTGACCAGCTGCAACTCACAAATAGAGGGGACTCACTATTTTCTTTTTTTTTATCCTCACCCGAGGATATTTTTGCATTTATCTTCAGATAGAGCGGGAGGGAGGGGGGGGGGAGAGAGAGAAACGTCAATGTGAGAGAGACACATCGAGTGGTTGCCACCCACACAACCCCCAACAGGGGCTGGGGACAAACTGCAACCGAGGTACGTGCCCTTAGTGGGAACTGAACCCGGGACTCTCTGGTCTGCTGGCTGACACTCTAACCGCTGAGCCAAACCGGCCAGGGCCTAACACTACTTTCTTATGCCATCCTTCCAGACCATTGCTAGACACACACATAGTAGCTACACTTTCGGGCAGTTTATACAAACACCCATTTAGGGCCATTCCATAGCAGAAGCAAAGCATCTTTTCACAATTTTCATTAGTGGCTACAAATTAAATCAACAGCTGCTTACCAGATTTCTAGGGCATTATGAACTCCTAGACTTACAAGTTAGTATTATTTTTTAAAATTCTTCTTCTTCTTTTTTGTTAATCCTCACCTGAGGATATATATATATATTTTTTTTAGATAGAGTGGAAGGGAGGGAGAGAGAGACAGAGAGAAACATTGATGTGAGAGACACATTGATTGGTTACCTCCTTCATGTGGGCCAATGCTCTAAGCTAAACGCTGAGCAAAACCAGCCAGGGTTACATTTAAAAAAAACTTTTTTTTTTTTTTTTTTTTAAATTTTAGAGGGAGAGGGAGAAAGAGAAACGTCATTCAGATGCCTCCTGCATGCCCCTTATTGGGGATCAAGCCCGCAACCCATGCATGTGCCCCGACACCAAGCTGACTTAATAGAAATACATATGAATCACATGTCTCAATCTTTCAAAACACTGTTTTATGGTACGTGTAGAAAATCATATATAACAGGAAATTGACCGTTTGCTCCACTGTGTTTGACTTAGTAGCGTTAAGCACGTTCACAGTGTTCTTTAACCATCAGCTCTGTCTAGTTCCAGAGCTTCCGTCACTTCACGCAGAAACCCTGGACCCCTTAGCTAGCTACCCCCTTGCTTCCCACGGCCGATGGCGTCTAAAGCCATGTAATTCAATCTGACAGCTGGTTTATAATTCTCCTTTCCACTCTAGAAGGCCAAAGCATGATGGTTCAGCCCTTGCCTGTGTGGCTCAGTTGGTTGGGCATTGTCCCATGCACAAGGTTGTCAGCTCGACCCCCAGTCAGGGCACATGCCCATTTCTCTCCCTTTCCCTTCCTCTCTCTCTAAAAGTAAATAGAAAAGCATCTTACAAACAAAACAAAACAAAAAAACCCACAACACACTATTTTTCAATAATAGCTTCCTGGCAGGACAGATAAAGATATTTGCCCTCTCTCTCTCTTTGGAAGCTCACTTTTTAGCAACCGCACCTGCAGAAAGAAGCAGCCTGGCCCTTGGTGCAGGTGCTGATGTTCAAAGCTGTAGCAGAGCCTCCACAACCCCTCTTGCTGTGTCCCCGGCTACACTGGCAAGCTAGGCCCCCACCCTTCCATAGACCCAGTGCCAGGAAGCAAGTCTTTTGATCTCATACCTCTGTATAAAAAACAGTGAGTCTGCATCCCCCATATGTGTTATTGTTTAAACTGTATATTTGAAAAATAAAACTCAGTAGTGACATTTACTTTGCAAGATTAAAATGTATATTTCAAAAGATGGGATTATAACATCTCAGTAGAACTTCTCACATTTCCTTCCTGCACATTCCTGTTTCATCTCAACACCTCCTCCCACTGTCTGGGGACGGGTGCCCTGGCAGACAGGGTGATTCTTGAGACACTGCTTTTCGCCCGGGAGGCCAGGTCCCTTTGCAGGAGAGGCCTCAGCGTACCCCTTAGCACTTGCTGTTACACTGTGTGTGTGTCCGAGGCAGGAGAGGCAGAGGCTAGGGAAACTCCTTGGCAAATGAAATAGGGAAACTCAGACAAATTGTTCAGTAGTTTACGGCCATCTGGTAAACCCCGTCTTCCCTAAACCAAGGACACTTAGGAGTAAATGATTTGAACATCTTTTCTCCAACCAGAGGGTAGATAGCTTAAATCACCCTACTCAGGGAGATAGCAGAAACCCAATTAGTGCCATTTGCCAACAGATGAAGTTGAGAGAATAAATCTCATCTTGGCACATCAGCGTAAAACTGATGAATATCCCATTGAGATCCTCCTTTAAGACCGCCCCTAGCCCTGGCCAGTTTGGCTCAGTGGTTGAGCGTCGGCCTGCAGACCAGAGAGTCCCGGGTTCGGTTCCTGCTAGGGGCACATACCACAAAAAAATTAAAAAATAAAAATAAATAAATAAAAAGACCGCCCCTAAACTCCCAGCAGAGCTGGCCCCTGCCGTTCCCCTCCCTCTCCTCCTCGTCCTCCCCTACAGGCCTGCATCTCCTAAACGCTAAGGGACCCCAGAAGGCTTGCAACCAGGGCAGCAATGGGCAGCGACAGCTCATCCTGGGCTAACCCCCTGAACCTGTGCCCAAGGCCCCTTTCTCTGACTTCTCAGTGAGCCAGAGCAGCCCAGCCTGGGCTCATTTCCTCACTAGTCCCTGTCCTGTCACCCGAGGCCCGCCTTGTTTCACTGTGCCCAGCGTTAATGAACTTCCTCCA